AAAAAAAAAAAGAAAAGGTTTCAAATAAATGAAAGAAGAAATAATGGTGGAATAGAGATTACGACAATGAGTTGCTTTTAATAATTTGAGGACTAGTGCGTAATTAGATAATTGTGAAGTAATTGTCTGATATTGTTTTCGAGTCTCATTGTGGGATTAAACTCAAGTATATTGAAATTAAGATAATCACATTAAACCCACACTTTTTGTATATATATGGAGTATAAGATGAAATTTTTGGCCGAAATAATGCTACTTGTAAACACAGCGAAATGCTACGGTCTCGTTACGTAACTATTCCGTTTGGGTTTGTAACTATTAGATCATTATATAATAGTCTGATATATTTTATTTAACGGTTACAAACCCCGACAGAATAATTCTGTAACGAGAATGCAACATCTCCAATAAACATAATAATGCACTTTTATAAACTGAAACAACACCCATCAAATAATATCAAGAATGGAGATTTAAAGTCATTTTCAATTTCGTTTTACTAGACAATGATTGAATATAATTTTTCAAACAAAATTACTAATTTTTTTATTAAAACATTTTATCCCCAATATTATCATGGGGTTTTTTAAAGAAAATTATTATTTATTTATTAATATATCTTTTATCATCGTTATTATCAATACAATTATATTATTAAATCAGTCAATTATTATTATATAACACTAAATTTTACTATTCATTCACTTACATATATTAAATTATCAATAAACTCTAATCACTGTTTTATTATTTTTATTATTTTACATTACATGAGTTTAATAATTACATTTTGTCTTATTTGATGCAGCATTAATTTATTAAAAAAAAATTATCACTTTTTTCAATAAAATATTTTTTTTCTAAATTAATTTATATCAAACGCGTCTAATATTTTATATATGATCCGAATATATTTTTATTATTTTTTAAAATTTAACAAATTTCAATATATTTTTCTTTACCAAAACATTAGGAATTAGGATTTACAGATACTTTCCCAAAATTCCCACCAATCACACTCTTCAGTTCTTGTCTTCATCTCCAACCACGTAAAATCCGCACACACACACACACACACACACACACACACACACACACACACACTGTGCTCATGATTTTTTCCCCAAATTCAAAGCCCTAAAATCCCAAATCGTCTTCGTCATTTCGCCATAGCCCTGAACTTCCTGTACATTTCGTTTCCTGTTTTGGGAAAAAAGGCCGGCGGCAGATGAGAATTGAACTTCAGGGGCCACCTCGACCAAGATTGTTGCGGCCGGTTAACGATCGGGTGGGGTTATGTTTAGGGACAATCTAATCGGGTTCGGGTTGGCGGTGGGCTCCAGCGCGTTTATTGGATCGAGCTTCATCATCAAGAAGAAGGGTTTGCAGAGAGCCGGCGCGGCCGGTTCTCGTGCCGGTGAGTTTTTTTTTTTTTTTT